ACAGAGACATTTGCAAATCCATACTTATTGATATTTTTTTATTTCACAAAAAAATCCAAGGAATGAAACCAGCCCATATGTCCACCGACAGATGAATAAATAAAAAAATATAACACATATACAATGCAATCTTATTCAATAAAATTAAAATCAAGGCAATTGCAGAAAAACGGATCAAACTATAACTTATTGTACCAAGTGAAGGTACTCAGACAAAGAAAGATGAATGCCACATGTATTCTTTCCTGTGAAGAGCCTATATTTTAATTTTTATATGTGAAAATATGGGAGATAGGTCATAAAGCAAGAAGGGGGGCAATGAAAAGAGAAAATGAGGTCTTAATGAGTAAGGGATGGTGACAGAAGGTAGACTGGAGCCGACTGGAGGGAGGGAGCGATAGGAGAGCTCTCTCTGTTTCGTTTGCGCTCTCTCTCTCTCTCTCTCTCTCTCTCTCTCTCTCTCTCACACACACACACACACACACCATGTCATGCCTTCTGCATGTCATTATCCAGCCCTGAGTCCTTCACCAGATGCCAAGTAGAAACCAACACTGTGCTCTTGAAGTTCAAGAAACACAAACCAAATGATTTGTTTTCTTTATAGTATTTTCTACAATTGCTTATAATTTTCTGAGTTACTTCCAGCTATTGAATGGGAAATAGACTAGCCACTGTCTGTTTCACTTCATCCCTGGTTCAAGTGCTGCCTATGGCTTCTCTCAGGGAGCTATATCTACCGGTTAGGAAATAACACTACAATTTGCATGTAATATCAGGTCTGGAAGTCAAAGAGCTGCAAGAATAAGGTTTGAGATCCCAAAGTAAAAATTAGTCCTTCTCCATTTAAACATCATTTCTCAAGAAAGATACTAGTTGGCCCCAAATGGTGCCTATGCCTGCCCCCCTTACCATCCATTTTGGGAAGTAACTCAATCTGTTCTCTGGCTGGCTGGCAAGAGCCCCATGACCCAGTGTGAGCCGTAACCAAACTGAATGTCGTTGTGTCTGTCGGAAGATGAAAACAAAGCAGAAAGTTCCTCAGAGCAGGGACTGCATCACAAGGGGACAGCCCAATTGTATCACTACTGACTCTGCACACCACTGTTTGTTTCTAAGCTCTGTGCATTGTCCAGTCACCTAAATCAGGGCTCTGGAGCTTCAAGCCACCTGAAAAAGACAAATGAACTGACAGGTCTCAGGAATGATCCTGAAGTTTTTTGAATCTCAAAGAAAGGAATGTTTGGGGGACACATAGGAGCTTCCATTACAAGATGGATTATCTAGTTTTGCATCAAACACCACGACAAAGTTGGATAATGACCTCCGAGTCTTAGAAGCCATTCCCCCACCCCACCCCCACCCCTGCACCTGCAGAGACAAAAAAAAAAATAGCACGAGCGATAAAAGCTGGTGCCAAGTGCACAACGGGTAATAGCTGATGCAGAACTTGGAGTCGTTTTCCCTGGAGGGAACAGTTGAGGACCGGATAGAATCAACCATCTGAGACTCCTCAGGTGCTTAGCTTTTATGTGAGGGCTCTGGAGTTCAATAATTCATGCTAATGCAGCCAGCATCAAGGCAACTGCATTCACACTTCATTCGGATTTTGATTACTAAAAAGTCCCGGTGACTTTTCCCGATGAGAAAACACTCTGGTTCCTCCAGCTGGAATGGAAGGAGTGTGGTGGCAGCACCAGGGCTTTGGGGTCAGGTGAGCCAGTCTTTCTTGGGCCTTGTCTGGTGACATTTACCATATCAGAATGTCCCAGTCCATAAAATAGGGTGATGCCCCTTACTTCGCAGGGTTGTCAGACTGCATGACTGAGATGAGCAGGTGAAAAATTCAATAACGTAAGGGAAACTTCAGTGGCCTGAAAGAACCCTGAGAAATCTCCATTTCCTTCCCTTCAAGGTCATTCTCTTTCTCTCTTCCTCTCTCTCCCTCGCTATCCCCTCCTGCCTCCCTCCACCCTAGCTGCACATGGAAGACAATGTTTTCTGTCACTATAATGGGAGTACCAAGAATAAACAGGGGACATCTTAACCAGAAGGAAGAACTAAGACAGAAAGCCTTGTGCTGAATATAGACTCTGTCGTTCATGTCCACAACACTGCCTCCTGTTGAAGAGGAATGGAGAAAAGAAATGACGACGAAGATGAAGATGGACAATTAGTACCAGCATGGAGTTTCAAAGTTTAGGTGGCTTCAAAGGAATTGAAGCAGTCTTATACAACTTTACTTTAATGCACTCTCTCGGTACTCATTAAAATACGTATGCCACTTGCACTAGAAATATCTTCCCGGAAGGCAAAGAAGAAAGTAGGTTAGTAATTTACAAGCTTATATCAAATCTCCGTTGCCCCCATTTGATTTAGAAAAAGATGTAGCTCAAATGAGTAGCGTCCAACCTAGATGGTAGACAAGCTTCATTAAAATTAAAACGCAACTACAAAAAAGAAATCCTACTCCAAGGAAGACTGAGCAAATAAGTCGTGGCTGGGGTCTGGGAAGTGTGCTTTCAGCATGCTGCAGGATTCTGGCACAGGTAAACCACAGATTTTATTTTGAGACGCATGAGCTTAATGCTTGAGAGAGTCCTGTGTTCAAAACCTGATCTACTAGACCTTGCTCTGTGGATTTGGGCAACTTTTAACTTTTCTGATTTCAAGTTTTTTAAGTTTTGAAATTAGAATTTATATATACTTCAAAGGTTGCTATAAGAATTAAATAAAATACATTATGGAGCAATGGTCTCTGGTACTTATAAAAATACTATTATATATACATTATCATGATTGTGTAAAGGACTTGGATTTTTTTTATAATTTCATTCTTTTCTTTTTATAAGTACAGAAGAAAAATGCGTTAAGATAAAAGTTTATGAGACTTTCAAACAGAAATCTGAAAGGGAGTAATCTGAGTCAGTAGCTTAGAAGCCGCCTTCATCCTCATTGTTCAAGATGGCAGTCAGAGCTCCTGCTGCATCCCACACAGCTGCCAGGAAGACTGAAAAGTATGGCCAGCCAGTGTTTCATGTAGTCCTGTGCCCAGAAAACTGTGGCTTGTGATATGATGCCGATTATGTGATGACTGGAGAGAAGGAATTTGGGAGGGCAGGTATTGATCGCTGGTGTCTCCAACCCGGAATTCTTCACAGATTTGGGCTTTCCCTGGGGATCCTCTGCTCCCATTTCTCCGCATGCTGGTTTCTCAAAAGTCACCATCCTCAAGGCAGCTCGTAATTGCTATTACCTGTCCTGCTCAGTTTGGCTCATTCTCTTCCCAGATTCCTCCTATAGCTCCGCGCCTCACCTGTAAGCTCCACCCCACTCTTGGCTGCTCCCAGTTTTGTCTAATTCTAAAGGCAACACAATCGTTTTGTTTTAAAAGTTAAAAACCTAAACTAAATACTTAGGAAACATTTCAATATCAAAAACATTGGCCTTGAAAATAATCTTAGTGTTCTGAGGCATAGACATCTAGTATTTCCCTAAGCAGATAAATTGATATGCGGTGGAAACCTAGTCTGCATGACTCTCCTTGACTCCTATTACACTGAACAGCATTTTGAAAGAGATACTTCATGCTAAAGGTTGTGGAGCAACACTATTAACTATATTGACAACAGAGTTCTCACCATGTGAATGTTCTTACGCCTTATCCAACCACTTCCACGCCTTGCTCAGTAACCCTCCAATTTCCTTCCTGCACAGTGAGCTGTGTCCTTATGATTCTCTAAGCCCAGGCTCCCCTTAACAATATCTGTAACTCCATTACCCCATTGTCAAAGGGATGCAAGGTTTCTTCTCTACATTCTACTTGGAATTCTGTTTTCAAATGAGCACTGTAGACCCAGAAAATCCCGGAAGACCTGAATTAAAGCCATCCTACTCCCCTTAGAAGAGCAAGATATCCCAGTGCGTGGGAATATCCCACTGCCTAGAAAAGCACACACAAATATCTCAGGTAAGAGAGGCTTTTGTTGGAACCTGAGCTGTAAGAACTTTCAGGGTGCCAAGTTAGCCTCCAATAAGACCACATCGAGGTCATTCCCATGTGGAGAAATCAGTCCCAATTAGGGGGAAAAAAAGAACATTTGACTGAATTAATTATTTAGACAGACAACTGATTTGACAAATGATGATTCGCTGCTGATTTATTTTTTTCAAAAGCTATGATTGATTCCTGACTAATTGTTTTCTCATCTCCGTTGAGTTTCCTAATGATCCAAACGTTCATGAGATCTGCAGTTTCTGAGGAAGGCTGGAGACAAATTATGCCTCAGCCCTCACACAAACCACTTCCTATTTGCAGGTGGTTTCCACTTCCATTTTCTTCCCATCAGTGCTGAGGAGGATGCAGAACTGGTGTCATTAGTTCCACATTATACCTGAGGCTAATAAAGGAAGCCATTCACTAAGCACATATTATATTCCAGGCAAGATGTTAAATGCATTATGGATATCCTTTATTGCTCACAAAAGCCCTAATGAGGTAGACATTCTACTGACACCCTGTTTTTTATGTGAACATAGTCCAAAAAATATTAAACAACCCTAATCACATAAGTAGAAAGAGGTACAACCAGGCAAAATCAGGATGGATTCAGAGAGAATCACTAACTCATTGTAGTGACTGGTTTTATATCAACTTGATATAAACTAAAGTCATCTGAGAGGAGGGAACCTTGATTGAGAAAATGCCTCCCTAAGACCAGGGTGTTAGACAAGCCTGTATGGCATTTTCTTAATTTGAGACTGCTGCCATGCCTATCCCATCACGGTGGGTCCCATGAACTGTGAGCCAAACAAACTCTTTCCTCTTCAATTGTTTCCACCACAGTAACCCATCACAGGCCAGGGAAAAAACACAGACAACTACTTATGCTAAATGAGCTGGATGCTCTACACACAGCCATCACTAGTCCCTTCTAAGAGACCTCCCATCCCTCCAGCCCTAAGCTCACTTCCTCTTTTCTGGTCCTTGCCACTTGCAGGTGCCTCGAGCCAAGGCCTTGTGTAACTACAGAGGGAAGAATCCAGGTGACCTGAAGTTTAATAAAGGAGATGTCATCCTCCTCCGGAGACAGCTCGATGAGACCTGGTACCAGGGGGAGATCAACGGCGTCAGTGGGATCTTCCCAGCCAGCTCCGTGGACGTCATCAAGCAGCTGCCCCAGCCGCCACCACTCTGCAGGGCCCTCTACAACTTTGAACTTCGAGACAAGGATAAGAGTGAGAACCAGGACTGCCTGACCTTCCTCAAGGTAATCACAGCCCGCACAGAGACTACGGAGAAGCCACAGTCCACTGTTTAATAACGATGATCTTTTTTATTGATTTTTATAGAGTTCTACATTTTTCTCTGCTCCCCTCCCTGCCTCTCCCCTCCCCTTCGACCCCCTCCCAAGGTCCCCATGCTCCCAATTTACTCAGGAGATCTTGTCTTTTTCTACTTCTCATGTAGATTAGATCTATGTATGTCTCTCTTAGAGTCCTCATTGTTGTCTAAGTTCTCTGGGATTGTGATTTGTGGGCTGGTTTTCTTTGCTTTATGTTTAAAAACCACTTATGAGTGAGTACATATGATAATTGTCTTTCTGTGTCTGGGTTAACTCACTCAAAATGATGATTTTTAACTCCATTCATTTACCTGCAAAATTCAAGATGTAGTAATTTTTTCCTGCTATGTAGAACTCCATTGTGTAAATGCACCACATTTTCCTTATCCATTCTTCTATTACGGGGCATTTAGGTTGTTTCCAGGTTCTGACTATGACAAACAAAGCTGCTGTGAACATAGTTGAGTACATGTCATTGTGGCATGATTGAGCATCCTTTGGGTATACACCCAAAAGTGGTATTGCTGGGTCTTGAGGAAGGTTATTTCCTAATTTTCTGAGAAATTGCCACAATGACATCCACAGGGGCCATACCAGCTTGCATTCCTTCTCCCCACAACCTCTCCAGTGTAAGTTGTCATCAGTGTTTTTGATCTTGGCCATTCTTACAGGTGTAAGATGGAATCTCAGAGCTGTTTTGATTTACATTTCTCTGACTAAGGATGTTGAGCATTTCTTTAAATGTCCTTCGGCCATTTTAGATTCCTCTGTTGAAAGTTCTCTATTTAGGTCTGTATTCCATTTTTTATTGGATTATTTGTTCTTTTGATAACCAATTTCTTGAGTTCTTTGTATATTTTGGAGATCAGACCTCTGTCTGATGTGGGGTTAGTGAAGATCTTTTCCCATTCTGTAGGCTGTTGTTTTGTCTTGTTGACCATGTCCTTTGCTTTATAGAAGCTTTTCTGTTTCCGTTCCCATTTACTAGTGGTTTCTCTTAGTGTCTGTGCTGCTGGGGTTATATTTAGGAAGTGGTCTCCTGTGCCAATGTGTTCAAATGTACTTCCCACTTTCTCTTCTATAAGGTTCAGTGTGGCTGGCTTTATGTTGAGGTCTTTGATCCATTTGGACTTGAGTTTCGTGCATGGTGATAGATATGGGTCTATTTTCATTCTTCTACATGTTGATATCCAGTTATGCCAGCACCATTTGTTAAATGTGCTTTCTTTTTTCCATGTGATATTTTTTGGCATCTTTGTCAAAAGATGTTCAAAGGAGCGTGGATTAATATCCAGATCTTCTATTCAGTTCCATTGGTCCTCTTGTCTGTTCTTATGCCAATACCAGGCTGTTTTCAGTACTGTAGCTCTGTTGATTTTTTTAAGAGTATACACATTACACATGAGTGCACATGTGTATCTGTATGTGTGCACACTCATGCACATATGTAAGTGAAATGTGTGTACAATTTCAACTACATGGACTGTGTATTGGTCAATGTTCTACTGCTGTGAAGTCATATACGGCCATGATAACACTTACAAAATAAAGTATTAGCTGGAGCTTCAACTGTGTTTTCAGAAGTTGTTGTACCATAGGTGTCCAAATCCCCTCATAGAAACCTAAGTTGGGGTTATCTTATTAGTTTCTGTTATGATGGGTTAACATATAAGCCCATGAAGTGGTACTGTTATAATTTCTCAATAAAAGTCCATAAGCCCGTTCATTTAATGATTTCTTTTAAATGTATTTTAATCTATTTTCATGTTGTGTGTGTGAATATTCTGCCCACATGTGTGTATTATACCATGTGTATATCTGGCACCTGTGGAAACAGAAAAGAGCATTGGATCTCTGGAACTGGAGTTACACATGGTTGTGGGTCACTGTGTGGGTGCCGGGAATCAAACCTGGGTCCTCTGCAAAAGCAAGTGCTCTTAACTACTGAGTCATCAGTCCAGCTCCCTCCCCCATCTGACAGGTCACTGGGAACAAAGTGATGGGACAATGGCCTTCCTTCCCCTTTACTGGGAGTCTAGTGGCAAGCACATACATGCCAGTGGGGAAGTGTGACGAAGACACCAGAGCAGTGGAGTTCATCCATTCTGTCACTGTGGAACACTGAGACTTCTCTAGAAAAATCTAGGGTCATCCTAAACCAATCTAGGGTCATATCCAAATTCAACCAAGGATCTTTTCTTTGCCAAATACTGTGGCATGACCGTAATCCCAATATTTGAGAGATTAAGGCAGATGAATGAGAAGATCAATGAAGTCAGTCTGGGCGCCATAGCAAGTCTCTTTCAAAAGCACAAAGAAGAGACTGTGGTGGCTAAGAAGACGGTGTAGTAGATATAGGCACTTGCTGACCTGACGATGGTGCAGTAGACATAGGCACCTGATGACCTGAGTTCAGTCCCAGACCACAGGGTTCAAGGACAGACCCAACTCCCACAAGCTGTCCTCTGACTAGCACAAACATACCATGGTACATGTCACACACGTGTACCAGAGAGAGAGAGATTTGCAACAAAAGTGTTCTTCTTAAGGTATTGAGTATAACATCATTTGTATGAAGTAGGAGAGTAGACAAAAGGAGTGGACCGTACCAGAGGTCACGATGCTAAAGTGTGGGAAAAGCCACAAAGGAGGTGTTAGGTTTCATGCTTTGATTTGGATGAGAGTTCATGGCTATAGTTGATTGTTCCAGCTCATTTCCAAGATTTATATACTTTATCGAATGCATATGTGTATCCTTGAAAAGAATTTAGATCAACATTTATATGCATATATCTTTTATCTTACTACAAAAGCATCTAAAAATGTCAAGCAAGCTATTAGCAGTGGTTATACTGTGGTGGACAGGATCCACTTGTTTTTCTTATCAATATTTTCAATTTTCTCCAACTTTACATATAATCTTTTGGAGTAAGAAAATTTTTAATGAAAACTGCTTTATTTTTAACATATTAAGATGGAGTCAGTACTAAAATTCTTCAAAATGGGAACAAAAGTTATTCCCCTTTTCCAAGCTAGATCTGAATCCCCTATGGCTTCCCTTTTGGCTTCTCCATCAGGATAGTTTAAATGAAAATCACAGATTCCCCTTGGAGTGTTCTGAATTTTCCTCCTGGGTTCCACTCATCTGCCAAAAGCTTCCTTTCATCTTGAACATCTTGGTGCCCAAACACTACCTTTTAAGATGACAGAAATATTTCCCACACAACCTACTCAAGAGCTCTACCCTTTGTTCCCCAGTACAAACTGATCTCCATAGGAAGATTCCATCCCCTGAAAGTGGAGGACAGAGCTGACGTGAGGCCTTCTCTTTCAGGATGACATCATCACAGTGATCAGCCGAGTGGATGAGAACTGGGCGGAAGGGAAGCTGGGAGATAAAGTGGGCATCTTCCCCATCTTGTTCGTAGAGGTATGTGAGACTCCCGTCTGCATCTGAGTCAAGCTTGCTCAAGAGAGTCTGTGTGCCCCAGTGATGCCTGAGAGCAATTCCTATTTAACATGAGGCTTAGAACTCACTTGGAACCTCGAAAGAAAAGGTCTACACAATGACACCCAGTTCTGGTGAATACAGAGAAAATGGTCTTTTCCATTCTATTTCTGGGAGTGTCACGTGATCAAATTTCTCACATCAAAATGCAAGTTCACCCATATTTTAAAAAAACTTAAAGTGTGCATTGCTTTACATTAACAGTTCCACATCTGAGAGCTGACTATTAGGAAATATTTAAGTAAACATGTAACGTTGCTTGTACAAAACATGTGAAATGTTCACCATCACGTAGTACATAATAGTGAAATGCAGAAATAATCTAAATAGTCAACAATAAGGACTCACTTTGGTTGGGGGGCAGACAGGATCTCACTGTGCAGACCAGGCTGTACTCAAACTCACAGAGATCCACCTGCCTCTGTCTCCTGAGTGCTAGGATTAAAGGCGTGCACCACTATGCCTGACCTAATCTTCATTGTGGTGCTAGAAAAAATTCATATCTATACCTCTTAAATGTTAATAATATTGTGAAGCATTTGATATTATTGGAAAATCTATGCTTTGTTGTTGAGCTGAAAACAAATTGAATAAGTATAGATTTTCTTTTTTATCTCTTTTTATTCTTTTTATTGAGCTATATATTTTTCTCTGCTCCTCTCACTTCCTCTCCCCTCCCCTTCTACCCTCTCCCATGATCTCCACACTCCCAATTTACTCAGGAGATCTTGTCTTTTTCTACTTCCCATGTAGATCAGATAAGTATAGATTTTCAAATCCTCAAGATGAGACGGTAATGGAGATCTGTCCAGAACACTATGAATGCTCGACACTGTTGAGCTAGACACTTAAAAAAAATGATAGAAAACACATATGTGGTAGGAAACACGTATGTTTTCTACCACAATAAAGCAAAGTTGAACTAAGTTGAAAGCATCTCTAAAACTGTGTGTCTGTGCATAGAAGCGGGCAAGGGGCAGCAACGATGCCCACCAACATCTACCCACATACTGGGAGTCGTGACTACTGGATGTAAAATTCCAGAGGGAAGCCAGAGTTGACACCAGATTCCGTCCCCTACAGCTCCCCACCTTTGTTGTAAGAATCTTTTAGTAAACCTGGAGTTTGCTGCTTTGATGACACTGACTGACCAGCGAGCACAGGGGATCTGCCTGTCTCCCACCCCCACCACCAGCACTGGGGTTTCAGGCATGTGCCACCACACCCAGTTGTTACACAGGGTCTGCGGATTCAAACACAGCTCGTCACCTTTGCTCAGCAAGCACATTACCTAGAGAGCTAATTCCCCAGCCTTACTTCTGTGGGTTTTTTTTTAAGGACTTAAAAAACAAGCTAGGCTATCTGTTTCTCCAGTGTAATTACCTAACCTCTAGTCTCTAACCTCACTAGCCACGAGCCTCACCCTAGCTTGAAGCAAGTCATTGCAAATTCAAAAGAGAATTTTCATTGTTTAACTGCATTCTCGGGGTGCTTACCCTGCATAAAAGTAATAAAGGTGAGCATTGGAGAGCTATAAAAAGAAGTACCAGGCAGTGTCCCCACCCTCCAGCAGGGTGTTGAAAATAGGACTGAGGCATAATTGGGGAGAAGAAGCCAATTCTTCCGTGCATGAAAGTCAAAGCAGGTTCTACCGCAAAGGGTGTGTTCTACACATTGCCCAGCTTCCAGGGAGTTGGGTATATTCTTCACACAGCCAGTCCATGTTCCAGCTGAGGGAAGGGTAGAGGGAGATGCAGAACAATTGTGCTTTTAGGGTGTGGACTCTAAAATGAAACGTATTCTCCTTCCTTGTGCGTTGTCTCTCCCTGGGCCTCTTCCTGGTCCACCTGCCTTGTGCCTGGTACACCTTCCCGTCTGTTCAAATTTCACTCGTTTTATGTGGCTCTGCTGGGGAGGAAAAAAAAACATGTCCAGAACATTTCAGAAGCCAGGTGAACATTGATTGATTTCTGTCTTCTCTAAACATGTGGCAGGTATGTTGGTTACACTTTACAGACCAGCTAACATAGAACAGGCCCTCCATAGAAAAATTACTTGCCTGGTTTGTGTAAGGCCTTGGGATCCAGTAACAATACAACAAATTTTAAGGCAGTAAATTGAATAAATGAAAACCTATTTGAAAATGGTTAGAAAAAAAAATAAACCATTCACTCTGACCCTGTCCTGCGCACTCATTTATTGAGTCGTCCATTGGCACCTGCTCTCTCAGGCCCCACACTAAGTTCTAAAGATACAGGGTAGACGTGGGTCCCTAACCCCAGAGATCACAGTGTCAGGCAGATGGGTAATTGACCACAAGGATGATGGATGGTGCAGCGTGAAGCAGAGGATACCTTGAAGAGGTTGTGATGTGCAGCTTCATCTGGGAGGTCAGCAAATGCCCTCTGAGCCGATCGAGAAGCAATTAAGGTTGGGTGTGTATGCATGGAGGAGGGAGCAACTGGGGCGTAGAAGTAGCAAGAGGACTCAGAGCCAGCTAGATCCAGAGCTAAGCCTCTAAGCCAAAGAAGTAAATTGCAGTATTTAAACAGAAAAGACCGGGTGATGCCGGCATACCGAACAGCTCCAAAGTGTCAGTGGCTCAACAGAGAAAATGCTGTCCCCTACCCACACTCTATGTTCAGTATAGGATGTTGAGTGGTTCTACTCACAGCCCCCGGGGGAACCCACACTAATAGGCCTGGGCCATCTTTTAGCTGTGACATCTGGAGCATGTGTCCTTCCTAGTTTCCACAGGAGGGGAGAATAGATTGTGTCTTCACAGTCGAAAGCCTCTGAAGTAACACTACACACACTGGCTTACTGCCCTTTGGCTAAACCAGTCACAAGGCTCCACCCACATCCACTCATGCCCATTGGCTGGACAAGTCACAATGCTCTAAGTCAGCAGAGGAAAGGGGACTACATGTGATACATGGTGAAGACCCTCTCCATCTTACTATAATAAATGTGGATTTGACCCAGAAATCAGTGATTTGATCAGACGTGGTTGATTTTATTGGATTGTTGGTTTTGACTGGTTGGTTACTTGCATGGTTCTTGGTTGCTTGGTTTGAATTGACTTGTTTATTCTGATTCAAAGTCTCAGTGTATACCCCAGGCTGGGATGTAACTGAATGTACAGCACAGAGTAGCCTCAACCTTCCTCAACCTCCCAAGAGCTCTGTTTGCAGATGTGAACTGCCAGCCCAAGACTTTGGTTTCTGGGATGCAGTGGAAAAGATAAAGGAGAGAGAGAGAGAGAGAGAGAGAGAGAGAGAGAGAGAGAGAGAGAGGGAGAGAAGCAGGCTGCTGCATGATTTCATTAGAAAACGATGCAACTTTGACTGCTAGACTGGAAACAATTGAAAAATTCAAATTCTGTCTCTTATGAGGATTTGGGAAATGCTCAGGTGGAAGATATGGGAAAGAGAAAATGGCCTAGGGCGTCTCCACTTTCTGATTTGTATGCCTAGGTTAGTGGGGGGGGTGGTCATTTGCTAAGGAGAAACAATAAGGGTAATTAGGAGAATGTCAGCTCTCCTAGGACCTGCACTTGGTACCTAACTGAACACACTGGAGGTGGGGGACTTTGGCCTCATCTCCTGCATTATTTTGAGATGCTTCTTCATAGCTCTGGGGTGAAGGGGTAAGCATTAATTTCATCACCTGTCTCTGAATGCTGCTGTTTTCAAAACTTCTGTATTTAATGATTATTCATTTGGATGCTCTCACTACCAATTTACCTCTAAAATTAGTAATTACAAGAACCCTCAGAATTATCATTAAACTAGCCATGGCTTCATTTGTTCTCCTAATTGCTAGGAGGGAAGAAGATAATCAAGTGGTTTGTCTAATTGGGAACCGACTTTTCAAACATTACTTCAAATCTAAATTGAGCTTTTTAAAGCAGTACTTAAAGTTTTGACTCCAGTAATTTCATTAAGAGTAACACGTGCTAAGAACTCTTTAAATAAGTTTGCATTGCCAGAGCTATGCAGAGCAATTGAAAGGGAGGCTTTCTTATGAGGATAACATGGATGTTTTATGCATAAACAAGACTTTTTCTGTTAATGCATCATTTGATTTATTGAACTGCACCTGCACAGAGGATGGCTAAACAAAAGCTGAGCTTCTGCCCATTCCTGTCAGGACGTCTCCACACGGCAGCCTTGGTTACGTGAATCTCATCCAGTCCAGTGAACTCCAAGGATATTGTTTCAAATGAGTGCAGATCTCAGAGTCCCACAGTCCTTCCCCAGCTGAGCTATCAATCATGCCGGTGGAGGACAGGGCAGAGGCAGATTCTCACAAGGCCCTTTGTTAGTGTTACCGATTTCTAAAAAAGAAAAAATTAAAAAGGTGATGTAGTGTCCACCTGAAGGCCCAACGAGGGGGGGCAAATTAGAGAGAATTAACTCATGTCACTACAGACACAGGTGGTGCTAAAGAAAATCACTCATTCGGTGTGAAGGGTATTGGTTCTTCTCTTCCTCTGCAAACCGCGGAGCAGCATGTGCTGTGGGACCTTGCAAGGCCTTGTCCTTGGTCCAGGCTGCCATTAGAGCCTGCCGGAACAAGGTTAATTGATCTTGCTAATTGGTGTCCCTACTTGTCATTACTTCTGGGTAACATCAAGAATGACATTTTCATTTATGTGGAGTAAAACCTGCTTTTGGCTTTTTTTAAAAAAAAATCTATCTGGATCTCTGTTTTTGATAAATACATATAATTATATAAACACACTAAAGTTGATATATAGAAAAGTTCCAGCATGCCCCCCAAATCCTTCATGCTGTATCTTGTCTGTTCCTTCATAGACTCTCAAAACCTAGTAACCAATGATCTATTTTCTGCCCCTATGGCTTTCTTTTTCTAGAATGTTCTATAAATGGAACCCCATAGAACACAGACTTCTGAGCTTGTCTTGGTTCATTTTGCTTAACACTTTTGAGTTTTGTCTTAGTTAGGGGTTTTTAATTGCTGTGAAGAGACACACGGCAACTCTTATAAAGAAAACATTTAATTGGAGAGGCCTGCTTACAGTTTCAGAAGTTCAGTCCATTATCATCATGACTGGGAGCATGTAGCATGCAGGCAGACATGGTGCTGGCTACATCTTTACCAGAAAGTAGCAGGAAGTTGACTGCTAGTCACACTGAATGAAGTTTGAGAAAAGAGACCTCAAAGTCCGCCCCCACAATGGCACGCTTCCTCCAAGACTGCACCTACTCCAACAAGGCCACACCTCCTCCAAGTGTCCCTCCCTTTGGGGGCCATTTTCTCACAAACCACCACAAGATTCATCTGTTTTGTGCCATGTGTTCATAGCTCATCTTTTTGTTAGTGAACAGTGTCCCAAGGCACAGATATTCCAGACGTGACATCTGGGGAGATAGCTCTGTCTGTAAAGTCTTACCATGCAATCATGAGGACCCGAGTTCAATCCCAGAACCTAGGTTTTAAAAAAAAAAGAAGGAAAAGAAAAAAGTCAGTTATGATGGCACATGCTTGTCATCCCAGAACTGGGGAGGTGGGGACAGGTGGGTCAGTGGAGCTCAATGGCCAGCCAGCCTCACTGGCAAACTTCAGGCCAGTGAGAAATCTTCCCTAAAATCCAAGATGGGCAGCTGCTGAAGAACAGTAGCTGAAGGTGACCTGTGGCCGCCACATACATCCCTACACGTGTATAAATCAACAGTCAGTCAAACTGGTAATAAATGACGTCGAGGTTGGTTCCGACTGTTGGCAACTCTGAATGAAGCTGTGGGTTGAGCATCCATTTTTCTTTCTTCGAGTAATTACCCAGAAGTGGGATTGCTGGAGCAGATGCTAAGTATGTGTTTACGAGAAACTGCCAAACCGTAACAGGAGCTTTTCAAAGCATAAATCAGGTCATGTCACTCCTCTACCCAGTCCTGCCAGGAGCTTCCGGTTACACTGAAAATAAGTCAAAGCCTTCTGAGCCCTTGTGCAATCGGGGTGCCTGCCAGTACTGCGGTCTCCCCGTCCTGTCTCCTCAGCTGCTCCCGTTCATCTGTCTCGACCTCTTTCTGCCTGCCCGCATCCTCGTTTCCACACAACCAGCTCTTCCTTGCCACTTGTCTCAGCTTAAATGCCACCTTCTCAGAAGCTCTTCCGTGATGCTCCCCCACCAGTGTGAAGTGGCCGTGTCCCCCACGCCGTCCCTTTTACACGGGAAGACGTTACCATCCTAGCTTCTTGTTTACTAGTTTGCACATGGGTCCTGTCACTTATCTCACTCCTTCTGGACCTCAGCTTTCTTATCTTTGAAATGGACTTTTTTTTTAAAGTGCACTGGGGAAATGACTCAGTAAAGTACTTGGTGAGCTCCAGGCCAGTAAAGGACCCTGCCTGGAAAAACAAGGGGAATTTCCCCTGGGGAACCACAGTAGAGCTTGACCTCTGCACGTATGTCCACAAATGTGGACACAAGAACACTAATCGCCTATTTGGTGAATTTTTCACAATGTGGCAAGTTTTTTTTAGAGAAGAATTACCTCTTTTTCAAAGTCTTCTATCTCAGCTATTTTAATCCTCTCCACGCTGTCATTTTAAAAGTTCTTAAATGGATCTGTTTTTACCTATCTAGCTGGATGTCTAAGTTAGAATGAGACCTGTAGCTCTGCAGAATGACTGGCAGCATTGTAATAATGGAAATTTCACTAGTCATCCGGATATTGAAACATTGACTCATAGCGACCCTCAGTTTTTTCGACAGATTTCGTATTTCCAGAGGCTGTAAGCCCACGGGGGGGCCTTAGAAGTAATGAGTAGGATGAAGGGAAGAGGATGAAGGGAAGGCTACAGTGACCCTGTGGCACAACACTGGGCTGACTGGTGCCAGATCAGACACACCGTTTCCAGAAACTGTGCTGGCTAGCTGTTAAACAGTTGGTTTATCGACACACTACACACCAGGGCTTTTGCATCCTTTTTTGTTTTTTTTTTTTTTTTGGTTGTTTTTTGTTTTTGTTTTGTTTTGTTTTTTTTACCTAGCTAATTTACCAGAATAACTGATGTTTGAGACAAAGAACTGGAAAGGGAAGGGAAGGGAAGGGAAGGGAAGGGAAGGGAAGGGAAGGGAAGGGAAGGGAAGGGAAGGGAAGGGAAGGGAAGGGTGTCTACTATGTCTCAAAGTTATCAAATGTTTGTACTTCAAATGTATAAAAGATATAATTTGTTATTATATTGACAAAAGGATGGCCATTTCACCCAGCTACTGACCAAAGGGTGGCCATCTGACCAACCACTGACCAAAAGAAGGTCATCTAACCAGTTACTGACCAAAGGATGGGTATCTCAGCTACTGACCAAAAGGTGGCCATCTGATCCAGCAACTGACCAAAGGATGGGCGTCTGAGCCAGCAGCTGAGAAGTTAGCATCGGCTGCCAATGAGTGGGAGACTTAGCTACTGTACTATATCAGAGAGTAACTCTTATCCCTCCCCTTATCTTTGCAGCCAAACCTCACAGCAAGACACCTCCTAGAGAAGAACAAAGGGCATCAGTTATCGCGCACAAAGAACCTGTCCCTGATGTCCTCACCATCCAGAGGCAAAGCAACCAGCACAGCCACCCTCCGAAAGAGCCCCGGGTCCAGGAGGAAGGGGTCTGGGCAGTTCTCCATCACAACGGCCTTGAACACACTCAACCGCATGGTCCATTCTCCTGAAGGTCAACAGATGGTGGAAATCAGCACCCCCGTGCTCATCAGCTCTAGCGGCCCCTCTGCGTTCACTCAGCCTGGGGACAAGGCAGACTTCCCTGCCAACTCTGCAGTACAGGTAGGGAGTAAATCCACTGGGACCTTGGTGGTAGACAAGAGAGCATCACCATGTCACGAGCACTGCTGGGTGCTAAGTACTCGCCACTCACTCAGACTATTAGCTAAAGTCATGTGTGTTGTCAGATATTTGTGATCTCATTTTATTCTTAAGCATCCTGTAAGTTAAATATTATTATTATTATTATTATTATCCCTACTCTACAAGTAAGGAAACTGAGAGTTCAAAGAGTTAAACAACTTGTCCAAATCCCCAGATACTTTTCATTTTTCTGTTTCATGATGCACATGATTGCCTGTTCATCATAAAACTTTCCTCTACGGAGATATAGGTAGACACATTCATGACAGGGTTTTGGCCTAATGTGAGACTCACTGTCACATCTGTGATAGCCAGGGCATCACACAGAAAGAAAGCAATAGAACCTGTGGATTAGCAGGTGCGTCTCAGGATAGCGATATAATTTGTGGGTCCAATGCCCATTTCTACAGTTTTGCTTTTTGTAATTTTTTTTAGTGCAAGCCCTTGCGCTAAAATGGTTAAGAATTTCAGGATGGCAATAGCAGCGCATTAAGTCAAACGATGGCCCCAAGGGACTACACAAGTCCCACACCCAAAGAGCCAGCTTGGATGCTCTCTCATAGTGGGCACCTAATGAGGCAATGGGCACAAAGCACCCAGAGTAAGGGTGTCTGCACATGTTCAGCTCCCAGTCAGCACTTGCTCTCCCCACAATTTTTATTATTAACCCTGCTCACCAAGATGTTAAGAAGAGATGAACCAAGGTGAATCGCAGCAGTTCAGAAGTGGAAGTCTTTCTAACAGCATGTAGCTATTTAGGCTGAAGGGCCCTTTAAGAGATAAAGGAGGAGAGGGATGAGGCAAGGTAATTAGGAGGAGTCTGTTGGGTGCGCAGCTAAAAATGCTCTTTGGAACCATGCATGTGGCAACTTGAAGGGACAAACTTCAACTCACATGGGTGTCCTTTTTTTTTTAAGAAGCTGTAAATCTTGTTTTTAAACATGAATTTCTACCTTGGGATTAAATGGCTTAATTGGACTCTAATCCCTTTATAACAAGACATGGAAGAAGGAGAAAGTCAAGGGCTCCTCAAAGACCTGTGAGCTGGTCTGCAAGGAAAACAATCACCTCTCTTAACACACTCTCTGACACCACTGTCTGAGTGGATAAGAGTGTAGCCTCTCAGGTAACCGATGTAACTGAACCCCCATCTGTACTATCCTACTCTCTCACACATGCACAGACACAAACACACGTACACGCACGCACACACACACACATACACACACATCGTATGTACTTTCCTTATTTAAAGAAATTCTGACAAGCATCCTAAAGCCATTTTTGTAGGCATCTACATGCTTTCTGCCCACAGTTGTTCTAACATACACACACGCATACACGAACCTGATGAATCTAAAACAGGAACCTGATGACTCACATGAAGCCGAAAAGTCAGAAGCTTCTGAAGCATTCTTTATATAGAGGCCTGGGTATATAAGATGCACCCACACTCTGGGAGCTCAGCTGTGAGCTGGCTCATCAAAAGATGTATCCAAGAGACATGCTCTCTGTGCCTTTGAAATCTTTATTCCTAGACGTTTACCTCATCTGCTGAGAGGATGGACCAGAGTGGGAGAATCCCGGTAGTGCTCAAAACAAATCTTATTTCTTCCAAATATGCACAGAGAATGATAATTCCAAACCGCAGCATTCATGGGGAATCACTGGGCAGTGCTGATAGGTTTTTGTCGGCACAGGTGGTTGTTAAGTGGTGAATATTTCTGTCTAGGTGGCACAGGTGTTGTCCAAACATATTCAGAAGCCCCATGTACAAGCTTATCTAAAGATAAGCAGGGCATTGAACACAGTCTCTCTCTCACTTCCTTTTTCCTCTAACATTGCTTGAGGGCCCAGGTTGGATCTAGCCCAAGTTCTCCCTGTCTTCCCCACCCCATACCCTCACACAATGTTTAGACCTAAGTGGGTATTCAATAAATCAAATGATCAAAATATATTTCTTAAGTATCTGGGTAGGTGGTAATCTATATTGAGGGAAACCTGAAAGGGAGAAATACTTTCTTGTAGAGCTCAAAGATTACTGCAACTCTTTCAACTAATAAATATCCAGAGTGTGTATAATGTATCGGTAACCATGGTGAGTGACGAGATCCTGCTACAAAACAAAGGCAGTGATAATAATCTAATCGAGTAAACTGTAGCATGGGGGTCATGGGGGATGGTAGAAGAGGAGAGGCGGGAAAGGGGTGGAGAAAAATTAAATTAAAATAAATGTATAAATAAAATATTTTAAAGCTTTATGAGATATGGATGTATAGTTAGATGATAGATAGATAGATAGATAGATAGATAGATAGATAGATAGATAGAT